GGTAAGCTACCAATGTTGCAGGTTCCATCTTCTTTCCTGTAGCTTGCCCAAAGGGTACAAGATATTTGGGGACCAAAAAAGTATACACTATAGATTCGAAGCTGCCCCCACCCTGTAATAGTGACTATACGGATTTTCTTAGGGCCCTATCATATGCCTATTATACCACTATTACAGGGTGGGGGCCGCTTCTAGCTTATAAACCCCAAACCCTACTTTTTTGTAGGTTCTTATTATAACCCTTAATATTGAATTTATAGGGATCCTACAAAAAAGGTAGGTTTTTGGTAGCTTAAGGTATAGAATTACTTGGGACACTTTGGGCCTCAAAGTTTCCACCGACTCCAACACGTCTCGACTTAGGAACTCTACCCGAAACCATACTAAGGATCAGTCGAACGGCTGATGGACAAAATCCTGCATTACCCATAATAAGGAATATACCATAATTCCCATAGTTTAGGGTCCTGAAGGTCATGGCTTCTTATGGTTTAGTCCTGGACCCTAAGCAACCTACCTTTTTAGGGTTCCCTAATATGATTTCTTTATATAAGCCCCTAAAAAGGTAGGGTACGTGGGGTTAAGGCAGTCGAAGGGCGATAAGTGTTCTGAAAGTTTCAACTTTTATTTCCTTGGGTTTTGGGCCTGTGAGGGTCCTGAAAGACCAAATGACCCTTGAAAGTAGGGGCCCTATAGCCATATACTATGATTCCCTATATGGTATATGAGCCTTAAACCCTTTTAGGGTTCATCTCGTCCTTAAGGAAGCATCAATCGAAGGACGATAGATAGGTGGTTGTCAAAATTAAAGTCCCTTTTTGGGTATCCTAAATATGAGGTGCAGTACTATATTAGGGACCCAAAAGGGAGCGTAATTTTGACAACCACCCAAATAAATAAATAAACAGGGAAATGAAACCTTGGAGCCCGCAGACCCAAATCCAAACCACCCAACCCTAAACCCTAAACCCGACCTTAAACTGCCACAACCCACTTCTTGCGGGCCTCTTCCTACAAACCCGAGCATTATCATTATCGGAAGGCTACAAGAAACGTTGGCTTGGGTAGGTTGAGGTACTCTTCTAATCTGCAGCCCCGGCCGCCGTAAACGCATCACACCCTCCGTCCTGAGAGCCTCAAGGAGTACCTGTGGTTTACCTGAACCGTAAAGAACACTATATCTGGGCCGTAATAATTAGAATCGGGTTGTAGGGCAGTTGTAACGGATACCATTAGTAATTATATTCCGAGCTCCATATTACCTTCTCAGGTCTCTTTATTCTGATCTCCTTCTAAAAGTCCTTAAGAAGTTAGGTTATTCAGGGTCCGGGTAGTGTTTGAGATAGGGGAAGAATAGGGGTGGTCCTTGCGTCGCTATTCAGGGTAGCAAGACCAGCGGCGAAGATCGTCCGGGAGGTCGCCATCAATCGATCGCAGAGCACACTGAGCCCGAGGGTGAGGATGACCTAGAGCACAGACCCTGTAAACGGATCTCAAACATGGAGCTTTGTGGGCTACCTTCATCCGTGTCTTTACACTACCCTAGACCCTGGTTTGAAAACCTCAATACCCTCCGTACCCTTATACTACCCTAAACCCTGGTTTGAAAACCTCACAATACCCTGAACGCTGATTTGAACCCTACAAAATATCTGATCCCCTTAACGGTTAACCCTAAGCCCTAACCCCTAAAGGGTTAAACGGCTTTAAACGGCCGGCTTCGCGCGTTCCCAGGGTCGACCGGGACTGAAGCTTTGGAAGCCCAAGTCCTTTTGTTGGGGTTTGGGGTTTATAAGTTTAAACTTAAACTACCAAAACCTACTTTTTTGTAGGTTCTCATGATAAACCCTAATGTGGAATTTATAGGGACCCTACAAAAATGTAGGCTTTGGTAGGTTAAGGTAGGGTTTACGGGGTTTCGGCTTTAGGGTTTGGGGTTTGTAAGGTTTAGGGTTGAGGGGGTTTAGGGTTTAGTTGAGCTTTGTGGTTTCAGCACCTCCCCTCTGCCCCTGCTTCTTGAGGGGCTATATGGTCAGTAACAGCAGGTGTTTAAGGTCTACTATGCACTACAACCCCTGCATTTGGCCACCAAGACAAACCCTAAATCAAAACCCTAAAACACTGTACCCCAAAGCCTTCAAGCTCTGAAACCCGAAAGCCAACATCATACACCCTAAACCCTATAATTATTGCGTACACCTATGCCTATACCCTAAACCCACACATTCGACACTTTGGAATGATTGGCCACCAAAGCACGTAGAAGAGATGCCCTAAGAAGGCGTAAGGCTTCCAGTCCTCGCCGTGGCTGCGCAGCAACTAGAGGAGGGTTTAGGGTTGAGGATGTATACAGTAGGATTACGGATTTGAAGGCGGCCTAACGGAAGGTCTTTATAACCCGAATAAGGTTCCTTGAAACAGGTTTATTTACAAAGGGGTCTATAATCAGGGCTATTTCTGATAAGAGGGATTGATAGTAAGTTTTCTGTAAGAGCTCCACGGTATAGGGCCCTTAATAACTAGAACAGGGCTATGTGGACGTATTAAAGTACAATAGGAACCCACAGGAATAGTATTCGTAACACTTATCTAAGCATCTATCTCACCGGGTCTAGTCTTTTTTGTTGGGGGGTGGCGGCTGCAGAGACTCAGCGCTATGACGGGGCTGGGCTTGGCGCGGCGTCTTAATCTGTAGCCTACAGCCTGCAATTCGTAGGTTTTGGGTTTGGGTTTTATAGGGTTTAGGGTTTAGGATTTCCTGCGCGTTTCGGACGATACCCAAGGACACGCTTCACGCACGTGACCCCTGACGAAGTTTGAAGAAAGCCTAGAGACTCTAAGCCCAAACCCAAGCAAGAGAAGCTCACAGGTAAGGCAACCTCTATAAAGACCCGTAGATGCATAATGAAAAATCATGGCCCATGACCTCTGACAACAATTCTTAAGGCGTGCCCATGTCGAACCCAGGGTTGAACTTGTGCCAAAACACGAAGCCAACACCAAGCAGGAACACACACTTTCTGGCGCTTTGTAAGAGTTGTTCAGGGTTTTGTAGCCCTACCTTAAGCCGGAATAACCTACCTTTTTAAGGACTTATATAAGGAAATCATAAGAAGGAGCCCTAAAAGGTAGGTTATTCCGGCTTAAGGTACATGTAGTTCCATTTATTGCTTGCCTCGGTGAGGACTACGTGGTAATACGAATCCCCGAACCATGGATCCCACCGTACCTGACGACCTTGAACAACCAAAGGACCCGGACCGGATAATCCTTCTAAGCCACGTCCCTGCGCACCTAACCCTACCAGTGGGTGGTTGTCAAAATTAGGGTCCCTTTTGGGGTTCCTATTATAAAACGGCACCTAATACCTTAACTTTGGAGCTGTGCCCGCAGCCCTAAACCCCTCAACTTGGCCCGAAACCTAAACCCTAAACCCCAAAACCAGGCCGACAACCAGCCCTGAACTCCACGATGCCCAGAAACCGTTTAAGAACCTTTTTGTAAAAACCCTGAAAGAACCCCCTTAGAAACCTTTAAAGAGCCCCCTAAACCCTAAACCCTAAACCCCAAAACCCTAAACCCAAAACCCTAAACCCCCCCTTTCCCCCCCCTTCGGTCCAGGTAGAAGTGGCTGAGGAGGAAGAAGCCAAAGGCGGTAAGAAGATTGCGGAGACCTCGGCGTAGCCGTACAGTAACGCTTGCAGGACCCTTTTAAAGGAACCCCTTGATTGGAGGAACCCTATTCTAGTGAGTAAGGCCCTTATATTAAGATTGCGGAGACCTCGCTGGCTTTTAGGGCTCAGGGGGTTTGGGGTTCTGGGGTTCTTAAAGGGTTCCTTTAAAGGGATCTATAAGGGGTTCTTTTTAAGGGATCTGTAGAGGTTTAGGGATTAGGGGTTAGGGGTTTAGGGTTTTGGGGTTTAGGGTTTAGGGGTCTAGGGTTTACCTATAGTCTCCATTGTAGTTCCTTTTTTTGGTTTGACCAAGTTTATATTCAGGATCCTAAAAGGTAACCCCAAAAAAGGACCTACAATGGAGACTATAGGTAGGATTTTAGGTGTAGGACTGCTTAGTCTAGTATCTAAGGTTGAGGGTTTAGGATCTAGGGCTCAGGGTTTACTGTTTAGGATTTGATGGAGGTCTACTTGGTTGCAACAGGCGGATTCGTTGCCTGCTGCTGCTGCTCCCCCTCAATCGCAGTTTGAAGCATCCGTCCCAGATGCTGGAGTTTCTATAAACCCTGAACCCAATTGGGAGTTTCCGAAAACTAGGGGTACCTTATTTTGGGGTTCTTATAATTAGGATCCTAGTATTTAGGGTACCATATTAGGGTCCCCCTCTTTTCGGAAACTCCCAATTCCTAATCCATAAAACCTGCGGCCCTGCGGCGCAAGGGTCTGCACTCCTACGGGAAGCATGGCACTGAGAGTTTAAGGCTGTTGCCGCACTTGCGCAACCCTGCTAGTTTAAGACCGTCTGCTGGCTGTTGGGTACCTCATGGTAAACCCTAGTAAAAACCTAAAACCGAAAACCCTGCGCGAGAATCCGTAAGGGTGTATCATGTAGGGTTTTGGGATGATGTCCAAGATATGGGCTCGATGTCAGGCCCATGTTGTACTTTGCTGACACTCCCTGAAACCCCAAACACCGGCACCATGAAAGACCCTAAACCCCCCCATGCCTGAACTCAAGTAGCGCTGCCTTGCCAAAGATATCCGGGAGATTCGAAGGTCAAGCTTAGATTTTCTTGGGGGCTCCTAAAACTTAAAGTATCCAGCAATAATGGGCTGTTCTTGACACGCACAGACACACACACACACAGAGACATGCACAAAAAAACAACTTCGTGCTCTTTTATTATGCATACATATCCGACTTACAGTATCCATTATAATTCCTTCTTGGTTTAACCAACTGTGTATGTAGGATCCAATAAGGCAACCCGCAAAAAGGAAGTACAATGAAGACTGTAGGTGCAAGGCCAACCTTCGAATTCCAAGTTACCTTGAAGTACGGAGCAAAAGCCTCAGCTGAGACAGGCGACCCCACACCAGGAAGTATGGGGTGTAGGTCGCCAACTCGTCCCACTCTTCCTTCATCTCCTATCAGGAACTTGGAATCCAAAAAAGAGGCCCAGGGCTGCGGACTTTTGAGCTTCACGGTTTAGGGCTTTGCAGCTGTAGGGGCTTTCAGGGTGTTACGAGGTGGATCCCTCTTCAACCTCATAAACCCTAAACCCTAAACCCATAAACCCTAAGCCCTAAAGCAAGCTCGGTGAAACCCAGCCCTTCACCCGCTCCAGCAGGAGGAGCTCATTGGATACCTGGCGCGAAGACTGTTTAGGGTTTAGTGTAGGGCTTCTTGTGTTGGAGTTTTTAGGGTTTAGGGATTTTTTTTGGGGGGGGTTGGAGTTTAGAGTTTAGGGATTTTTTTTGGGGGGGGTTGGAGTTTAGAGTTTAGGGTGCTTTTTTCGGCTAGGTGTTTCAGGCGTAGACGCTTTAGCGCTTCTTGGGTTTAGGTTTCAGGGCACGGTGGGGCTTCTGGGGGCTGGAAGTTAGGGGTTAGGGTTTAGGGGTTTAGGGTTAGGACATGTAGTTTCATTTTGAAGGTTTAGGGGTTCAAGTTCGGTGGGGGAAGGGCTTCTTTGGGGATTAGAGCTTCGTGCGCTTAGGCTGCTTTAAGTTTTAAGTGCCTGGTCTTGAGGATGTCCGGGTTTAGTTTGCGCAAACAGGCAACTTGGTTCCATAAGGACGAGATGAACCCTTGAAGGGTTTAAGGTTCATATACCATATAGGGAATCATAGTATATGGGTATAGGGCCCCTACTTTTAGAGGTCATCTGGTCTTTCAGGTTAGCCAAGGCAATCGCGCTGTACTGCTTTCGCTCGACATGCTGTCAATCTCCTAGGAAACCAAGCCGTGACACCTAAACATCCCAAGATTTTCCTTAGCAAAGGACATGGGCGGAGGCTACTAAAACACTGTGCCGGCGGTGTAGCATAGGGGCCTTAATAGTCATAACAGGGTTTTGGGGGTTCTCATGCTATATGCTTATGCCTGCATTACCCCATACATCGCCGAAGCCTGCATCTGTCTTTGAGTCAGGGCTCTGGGTGGCAGGATAGGAATAGAGCGGCGTTCTAGAGTTACGATAAGGCAGATAAGATTGTCCAAGAGGGGGGCAGCGAGGTTGGCACAAACATGTGGACCTGAATGAAATTCGACTTTGGCATCGGGCGTTTGTTTTTGAAAACTGTAGAAAACCTGAAATATCTACAGGATCGTGGCCTGCATATAAGGGGTCTGTCTTAGCAGGGCCACGGCTCGTGCAGAGAGTGGGGGGGGGAGTTCAGTACATTAGGGTCCGGGAAGGTGATACCGCAATGAAGTTATCATAATCCCTAAGGGTCCATGCACCCATATACCCATATAGAGATACATGAGCCCCAAAGTACCTATGTAGGGACTACATTACGGCCAATGTATATACTATATGAGCACATGGACCCTTAGGGAATACGGATCTTTAGCGAATAACTAATGTACTAGTGGGGTTTCCTTGTCATGGTAACTTACATCAACCTCCGATCAAAGAGACCCCAGTCGAGACCTGTTGTGCAATCAGCTTCTCCAGGGAATCGCTGGTCTCGATGTCGGTAGAATCCATACTGTGCGTAAGGCTTAGGCTTTGGGGTTGCAGGCTAAAGTAAATCCTGAAACTGAGGGCCCGCGGCTGAACGACTTCAGTCTTCAGTTGAGCGATTTGGGACAGGGTCTCATCGTGCGAGCTACTGTCAACCAAGGCGATCCCTTCCTCAGTAGCGTTGCCATTCAATGCTGCATTAACCCTGCCTCTGGCCCGAACATGGAATAGGATTCCTTGCAAGGGTTCCTTGAAAGTAGTAGTAGTGGTAGTAGTAGTAGTAGTAGTAATAATAATAATAGTAGCAATAGTAGTAATAGTAGTAGTAGTAGTAGTAGTAGTAGTAGTAGTAGTAGTAGTAGTAGTAGTAGTAGTAGTAGTAGTAGTAGCAGTAGTAGTAGTAGTAGTAGTAGTAGTAGTAGTAGTAGTAGTAGTAGTAGTAGTTCCTTGAAAGGGGATCTATGACTAGGGACATTGTGAGGTTTAATATAGGGGCCTTCATGGTATTGTATCACAAAGAGGACCCACTATGGAATAGTATCGGTAAAAATGTAGGCTTCTATGTAATTTAACAGGGGAGCCCGTAACAAAGGCAAGGCTTGATTGCAACTCAACCCAGGCCCTACACCCTAAACACGCCAAACCCCCGGAACTCTTAAACCACTGAAGGCAAAGCCCTCACACCATTGAAAGGTGTAAAACCTCCCCAAATATCTCGTGAACACAAGGCCTGAACACCGGTAAAACAACAACACTCCTAGAACAGAAAAAGGAGCCCGTACCAGGGAACCCTCCGAAAGCATACTCATAGAACCCCAAACATTCATCCTTATGAAATCACCCTTTCAAAACAAACAACGACCTTCCAAGAAGTGTCTAGGGATGTCTAGGGTTTAGTTCTTAGGACCCCGGGCACGAACCTTTTCAAGGAATACGGTTTTAACCAAGATCGGAATCCCTACTGAGGTGGCCTCTGAAGGTGGGATGAAGGTAGGGTTTAGGGCTTAGGGTAGGTAGGATTAAGGATCTCTTACATCAGATCTCTCATTTGGGATCGCTCCACCTGCCTTCATCCCACCCCGCCCTTCGTTCGATTGCGAAACTGAACCCTCAATTCGAAACCCAAAAACCCTGAACCCAAAACCCTTGAACCACAACAAACCCTAAACTCCTCAAACATACACCCAAAAAAACCCTGCAACCTAAAACCAACACATCAAACGCTAAACCCTGGCTGCTGCCTGGGGAAGGCATCCCGGCCGGGACTGGTCTCCCGATTACCTCAATTTAGGGCTTTAGGGTATATAGGTTTGGGCGGGTTTATATGGGAGTTTCCGAAAATAGTGGACCCTAATATAGTACCGTAAATAGTAGGATCCTTATGATAAGGGCCCCAACATAAGTAGCCAACTTTCGTAAACTCCCATATAGGGGTGAGGGTTCAGAGTGTTAGGGTTTTCGGGTGTTAGGGTTTTCTTGTTTAAGCTCCTTTTAGGGTTTAGGGCCGTTTAGGGTTTACATTGGAGCTTGGGGGCTAGGTGCTAAGGCGCTACTCGTAAGGCGTGGGGCCTTAAAGGTTGCGGCGTGTAGGGCCCAGAGCCTAGGGTTTGGGCAGTAATAGGGCTTAGTTCTGCTAGGGCCGAAGGCTCCGTGCACATTTCGAATTTCAATGAATGCAATTCTTGGAAGCTCTAGCAAACCCAAAGCAAGAAGAACTCCGAACTTGGAACCCTGATGCCGAATGGAGGGGCCCTGACACTCAGAAGAAGGATATGCGGTGTACTATGGTGTGACGATAGGAAGGAACGGTAAGGAATAATCTCGGTACTTCTTCAGGTTGCTGCTTGGAGGTTCATGGAGATAAGTTCCTTTATATGGGTTATAAGTGTACAGCCACCCTACTTATTACCTTGCTTGTAACTGCCCATGAACCTCTAAGCATAGTCAGCAACGTAATACAGCTACTAGTGTTCATGATAAGAAGAATAATGCATACAATAACTTGTCAAGCATGGTGATAAGAATTTGAGTAAAACTTGAGCTGAGCATGGCTAGGTCTCCATGCCGGTGCCATTCAGATTCTCGGTGAATCGCTGGACGCCGGGCACCCGGAAGAGCTTCGAAAGGCCTGACCGACTGCGAGGCTTGACGGCTGAGGATTAGGATTTAGGGTTTATAGGGGTTTAGGGTTTAGGATTTAAGGGTTTATGATTTAAGGGTTAGGGTTTAGGGTTTGGGGTTTAGGGTCTTGGGTTTAGCGTGCTTGTTTTTGGGAGGACGCTGTGGGATTCTATGTGCCTCACTTTTCCGGATTACTACTTGACACTAGTGCAAGCTACAGAGGCAACAGCAAATGGAGAACAAACACCAAGCAGTGCTCATATAACAGTACTGGCAGAGCAAATTTCACAGCCAAGGACCTCGGTGTGAAAGTTCATAATTCGCTCCAGTAGAAGCATTCACAACATGGCTATCTATCGCTCTTACATTAGGGAGTGACCATAACTTTAGACGATGACTACCGTCTGTGAGAAGGGCTGCTGCTGCTGAGACA